TTATGTACATATGTTCTCAATGAGTTTCTGTAAGAATGACAATTGTTTTCTTTATCAGTCTGATCTCTTGAGACTAGAAATTATTTGCTTTACTTTATTCAACCTTGGAATGACATTGGCGTAATACTGGCTGCCTTATTTTTAAACGAATCAGTTTTGGTCCAGGCTTGAACCGACGCTTTTCAACCCACTTTGAGCCAACACTGGCCCGACACTTAGGAATAAGGCTTGCTCTTATGGTATTGCTTCCAAATTCACTAGCCAAAATTCCAACCAACACTCGCCAGTGCTGGCGAAACCGCCATTCCAGTTTCTTCCATTCCAATCCTTGCAGGGACGAATCAATATCAATTCGGCAGACGAAATTGATTGAGCGGTAGCGACGGTATCACTAGAACGCTTCGACAAGAAAAAACAACTTCATAACTACGTTCATCGTTGGTATCATTACATCATATTTCGGTTTTCATTATACAATCTTGGCATAACATTGACGTAATACTGGCTGCTTAAGCTTTAAACGCGCAAGTTGTCCAGGATTGGGCCGACGCTTTCCAACCGACTTTGGTCCAACACTAGCGCGACACTCGTAAATTAGCTCTACATTTATGTTATCACTTTCAAATCCACTAGCCAAGGTGCCAAATTCGGACGAACACTTGCTAGTATTGGCGAAACCTCCGTTCCAGTTTCTTCGATTTCAATCCTTTCAGGAACGACTCAATATCAATTCGGCAGATAAAATTGATTGAACGATAAAGACGCCATCACTAGCACATATCGACAAGAAGAAACAGCTTCATAACTCCGTTCATCGTTGGCGTCATTACGAAGTCGATACAATCGCCAGTACTTCTTCTGGGACCCGGCTGCCGAGGTTATTTTCGCTTTATTTGCTGTTCGTCTTGAAGTAACGCTCATGTTCAGTCGTACACGTCGACTGAATATGTATGTTTAAGTTACTATGTCCCAGGCGTTTCTAAGGGTGGAGGAAGATGTGAAAGCAATCTTCAGGTAACAACCCTAAGGTACCTTGTACTCCTGCACTTCGAATTTTTCCGCGCTAAGTATCTTCTGGTCCTTTTGCCGAGATCATAGGTGACTTTTCATGATATACGACCTACAAAGTAATAACGTAAGCCCCGTATCCGCTTTGGTCCCATCAAGCGATCTTTCGGTTAAGAGTCTTCTGCCCTGGAAACCGAAACTCCGCTATGAAATGTTTTTTTATCAGAAAATAATGATGTCTTCTGTGCAATACAATATTCTGATGTATAAAAATCTCCAGAAGATTTTTCCAAAAAAACTCTTTCCAGATTGTTAATATTTTTTGCATTATTCTTAATTTTTTCAAGCGTTTTAATAAAACACCTTCAGCAATTTTTAGGAACTCCTGCCCGCCAATATACAATCACAAGAAAAGCAAATATGTTCACAAAAAGACTCCAATATATTCAATAATGTTCATTCTACGCCTCATAATTTTATCTCCCAGAGGATTGAATAACCAATCCGTAACACTGTTAATGATCGTTTCAGTTACCTAGTACTCCCCATGATAAACATCTCGGAACAAAGAATTATCGGGTTAATCGATACCTACCGTTCTTCACATGCTTAGCTCGTCGATCACATGTTTCTTCCCCTCCCATATTCGGGAAGGGGGAACATCCCCGGATGTTTCAGGGGATTGGTAGTAGAAAGATCAGTGGTTAGTGAACTGGAAGCACTTGAGGCGATAAGATGTATTGATCGAACTTGAATCTAAAGTTACCTTCTACGAGCGGCTGTAATCGTCCATTGTTTTGAAGATGTTATTAACGAGTCGATGTCATAATCATAATTTTTCTTGGACCTCGGTGACGAGTATTCGCAGCTCGTTTGTCGCTGACTTTATGATCTAAAACGCTCATGTTTGATCGTAGCCATAGAGTGAATGTGTTACGATCACCGTTATCAAGGTGCTTTTATGGGGAAAGAAAATGTGAAAGGAATTTGAGTGGGACAGACGGATTCCTGCCTTGTGCATTGGCTGGGTGTTTCCTGACATTCTTGAACCACTTCCTTCATTATGTGTTGACTTTTTCATTCTATTTTCACTCGTTTTGTTTTCTGCCCTTTGTAAAATACTTAAGGAGCGTTTGATGTTGGAAAACATGCATATTCGGCGAACATTGAATTGGTTTCGGTTTAGAAACGGAATTAGTTCTCAATTTCCTCTCTTAGATGCATTTTCTGAGGTACCCTATTGCTTTATGGATAGCATCTTTTGTCAACTCCGTGTATAGGGGTGAAATATGCAAAGATGATCAATTTGATGGTGAATGCGATGACTCCTAGTAATGCAATTAATTCGGTTGAAAATACTAAGGCGTATTCCAATTCAGATTCAATATTGTAGAGGTGCCTGAAAGAGTTTTACCTTCACGACTGCAGTGAATATTAAATTTGCTTTGATGACAGATGCATCAGCAAATTATCTCGCAATTCACCCTCTCTATCATCGATGTCAGTGAGAATGGATTATATTCTCTTAATTTCCTGTCTCAGATGTATTTGCAGAGGTGCCCCATTATTCTGGTCAGAATATATTTGGTTAGCTCCGTGTATGAAGACGATTGTAATATATATGCTCAATTTAATGGTGAATGTGGTCCCCCATTAGCCCAATTGGTAAGAACATCACTCCGGTGATGTACACCTTACGTATTCTCAGGCGTATTGCAACTCAGATTTAGTGTTGTAGAAGTGTTTGAAAGAGTCTTGCCTTCACGACTAACGTGAACATTCAATTGGCCTTGATAACAGATGCATTGGAACATTATGTCGCAATTCACCCTGTCTATCATCGATCTCAGTGAGAATGGATCTTATTCTCTTAATTTCCTCAGATTCATTTGCAGAGGTGCCCCATTGTTCTGTTGAGAACATATTTAGTCAGCTCCGTGTATAAAGGCGATTAAAATATATAAGGATGATGAATTTGACGTTGAATCACTTCCAGTAGCTACATTAGTAACAACATCAGCTTCCAAAGTGGGAATTGAATAGGCTGATAATGGGAACAAGCTTGTACGAGCCTTGGTTTGGCGAGGCTCAGTGACACAAGCCTGGAGCAGGCTTGATCTTAGCCTTCGCTTCAGCCTGAAATGAGGGTGATAGATGGGGCTTTTGGGGAGCCTTAATTCAGGCTTAGTTCAGGCTTGGAGTATTGATGCTGAATACGGAAAAACTCACTCAAGGCTCAACCAAGGTTACTTTCCAACCAATTGTTACCTTCCTCGTCAATAATTTCATATTTATCAACGAAGAAAAGTCTCTCTATCTAGTCACTAGGCATTACCGTGACCTCCCGTCAAACCAATTGAGCTAGGTCTGGACAAGGCTTGCCGCAGCCCTTGGCCAGAGAGGTTTCCCAAATTTCGTTAAAAAAATGAATTAATTAGTTTTTGATCCATTGATATATTGGAATACAAAAAAAACAGTTGTTAATGGTTGAAGCAGAAAAACAAATACATTACACGCCCAGTACTTCATATACCAAAATGAAATTCTACATTTCAACAATTGTCTGAATGGCCAAGTGGATAAGGTATCGGACTAGAGATCAGAAACACTTAGGATCGAACTCCGGCGGGTGCAACTTTTTTCTTTTCATTCCTATTGATACTGGACATTATGGGATAATCAGCAATCGTTAAATAATACTAATAAACATAAATAATGAGATAATATTTTGAAAAACAATTATATTTGGTATTTCGAAGCTTGAATGAACCCTTCTTCCCAGGCCGCGTTAAAGCCTCGTCACCCAGCCTGAGAACGTGGTTATCATTTCAGGGCTCAATGAGGTCTGATCCAAGCTTGGATGCCAGCCCTCACCAGCATTTATGAGCCTTGGTTCAAGGCTTGACCAGTCCTGTTTTCTTCGTCAATTCCTACCTGCCTTGTCAATTCAAGTGTTATATGAAGGTGGCAACTGAGATATATGCTTTAAGAGGTATCTGACAAAATCCATTCTTACGAATACTACAGACAAATTTTGAGACATAAAATTCCTTTTCTCTCTTTTCAGCCACACCACTGTTTGAAGTTTGACCATAAATTATAGGAAAAGTTTCCTCTGCGACTCTTCCTTTATTTTCATCCAAGAGGTTTCAGGGTTTTAATATTTAGGTGGAAGAAGAAAGTTTTCTTGTGAAAATCTGATCATAGGATAATTGAATTTTTTCGAGCACTGGACAGAATATTGGAGAAAAATTGCAGGGACTAAGAGGAACTCAATTGAATTTCACAACATCACTTTCTTTGCATGATTTTTCTCGCATCCTTGCCATTAAAATTTTCGATTCTTTTAGGAATTAAGCACTGCAAAATATTGACTAATTATTCACTTCCTATAACTCGTCTGACGAGTTTCCAAAAATTTCTAATCATTCTTTCTAATTGATGTCTGTACATCTTCAATACCCAACATTATTCAATTTCATAACTCGCATAGTACCATCTCCCGGCAAGGAGTATTTCATCTTCGTAATCGGCTTATTGGGGACGAATGTGATAAAAATAGGATGAAAGTAGATGCTAGTCTCCTCCCTCAAAGCAGCTGAAATATCTCAAGCCAGTATCCAATCGATACCAGAGGTAACTTCGTAACGAGTTTTTTTTCCGCAGTGGATGCTTCAAGTTGTTATGAATTTTTTTTTATGTTAATGAATTTTCAGTTTCTTTTTCATCAACTCATCTTGAGGGAGTGATTGCTCCGTTTATTGACCATGCATCAATGAATACCGATTTATTATATGAAAGTGAAAATGAGGATAACAAATATTTGTCGACATATATTCGATCTTTTTGGTGAAGAGAAATCTACTGTCTGAGTAAAAACGATAACTTTCAAGTCCCGAATAGTTTGTCTCTCGCATCAATTAATCGCAGACTATTTTTTGCATCTAAATGTCCTGGAAACTGATGAAAATTTCGTTTTTCTTTCATTGCAGAGGCTCATCGAGCATTGGAGCTCCTGGAGGATTACCGTGCCAAGCTTACAAGGCCTCAGGATAAGCAGTTACGACTCGCCATCGAGCGTGTAATTAGAATCTTCAAGAGCAGGCTCTTCCAGGCTCTCTTAGGTGAGTAACTGAGACCGTGATTCGCGTTAGTTCTCATGTACCTCAATTTTCCGGAGTAGTTTTTGGTTACTTGTCAAGGTTGTTGAAGAGATTAACAGACAACGGTAGAGGACAACAGGTGAACATAGAGTTAGTTTGCCTTGTGTTTTAACTTGATAACAGAGTATGAACTGAGGAACACGATCTCCAAGATTATGCGCTCTCAACGTGCATGAAGTGCGTATGGATATTCTGTGTGGTAGTGGAGATTAGGTTGACGTCTCCGGTGCTTCGTGATTATCGCATTTTCGAAATTGGATTATGGTTGTTGAGGGCGATCGCCATTTCGAGAATTGATGGTTAATATGAGAGAGGAGAAGGATCATTATGTTCTACATTAGAAGTCCTCTCATTGAAGAGAAAACTGTTTCAGCTATATAATAAGAAATTATATTAGATAGTACTATAGAATAGTCGGAATATTTAGATTCCTGATTCTCAGAAAAAGATCGGAGAACATTTAGGTTGATAACATTCTTTGGAAACGCTCACTTCCAAGGATTTTCATTAGTCCATATTGAAACCATTCCTTTGCTCATCTCGCAAAACCCTAGAATCAACGAGTTGCATCTGCGTATCTCTTCCTCCATAATGAAAATCCACCGAACTGCAGGTGTCAGAGCTTCTCTGTGAATTCACCTCGTTCATTGTGGTGTTCTCTATAAGACAGAGAAGATTTTCCACAAGTTTCACTCCATCATTTACATTGTCGTAGAGATGATTATTACATCGCCTGTGCTTTGTGATTAACGGAATATCTTTCTTAAATCGACTCACCTGAGCAAACAGAGTCAAATTAGATTTCTGATTCTCATAAAAAGATCAGACAGCCTTCAGATTGACAACTTCCTTTGAAAACGCTCACTTCTAAGAATTCTCATAAGTCCATATTGAAACCATTCCTTTGCTCATCTCCAGCCACTCCAGAATCAACAACAAATTGCGTCTGTGTATCTTTCTCTCTATAATGAGAACCCACCGAGCTGAATATGTCGAAGCTCCTGTGGAAATTCACATCGCCACTCATTGTGGTGTTATATATGAGACAAAAAAATTTTCACAAGACTTACTTTATCGTTGAGATGAAAAGTCCCCTTGTCACTGTCTCGCCGGAGCTATGGACGCTCATCATCCTATGAGCATATTTCTGGAAGATATGAAAAAATTCTGAACGCGGTTCTTTGTGGGGAATGTGAGTTGCTAATGAGGCATCGATGACAATCTTCTTGGTGAGAGAAAAAAACCAGAGAAGGAATTCTCATTTCAAAGACAACATTCACAAAAAATGCAAAATAAATGACTAAAAAGTGATTTACCTTTTGAATAATATTATCTCAATTTGAATTTCTATCAAGAGACGAAACGTAATATTACTCTCTAGTATTATGAATGTTCAAGTATCACTCTCCTTTGTAATATCTCCACTTCACCGGCTGCAATTTCAACTTTTGATGCAAATCAGCAATAGAGTCCAACATTTTGCAAGAAAGACTCTCCATTTTATCATATGCAAAAGTCTAACTCGCGCATGCAGTAGTTAAGTCATCGTTAAATTCAGTAAAAGTGAAGTCACTATACGTATCAACGCGCTTTTCTTCAGCACTCGAGGCTAATACTCTATCCCCGCAAATGACATTGGTTAATGGTGAAATTTTTTAAGCTCTCCTACGTGCTACTCAAGTACAGCCCAGTGCCAGCGTACGTGCACTTTTGTTCTCGCGGTTGGAACAAAGCAATGAATTACTGGTGACCCATTGTATTGTCGTAGTCCCACTATTATTTCGACTGAGGTAGCTCCCGCTCGCGCTCTGCTGTAGGTTCGGTGCGTGATCAAAGGATTTTTTTTTTTCGACTCGCAGGAAAAGTCAACGTGAGAGCATTGGAAGGTTGGTTTTTTAGCTGTTTCTGGGGATACTTGCAGTAACAAATTCTGCGTTTTATATTCAATTTGGAATAATTCGGATAATTAATTGAATTGAATCTGTAATTCCTTACGATCGATTTTACGCGGGTAAAGGCCGATAGGCTGATATCTAGATTACTTCAGATCGTACGACATTTTTGACCCGATGTTACTGAAATGCGATTAGCTGCGAAGACCTCTCAAATTCTTGAAGAAGCATACCAAAGGTGCCATGAAAATTCAAGCTAGCGGGAACATATAAACATAATTGAACTCTGAAAGCAGAGGATGATTGCAAATCGTTTAGTAGTCAATGGTACCCAACACCAAAGGCCCATTCATTAAATTCGAGTATACGTAATCTATAATTTTTTCGTATTTTCTTTTTTGGGACTCTTCACCAATCATGTCCTTGTCATGGGTCCGGCCAAAAGTTGGTGAGCATTGAATTTTTCACCAACAAGTTGATATCTTCACAATGAAGATGTACTTACACGAAATGTAAATTTTATTTTTGTAAGAAGGTACGATGGAGTTACTGAATAATAAGAAAGGACCACAGGAATAATGCACTCAAGAACCCACGACTTTTACTTTTTTACACCAAAGTAGTACCTTTCAAGATATCCGAATTCTAAGGTTATACCAATCACCAACAAACTATTTTAAAGGTGGTGTTGAATACTAGATGTGAAATGAATGAATTTTGCCCGCTAACTATATTTACCTAGGATGTCAACAGTTTTTTTGTTTGGTGACTACTGAATTTTCGTCTTAGGTAGTTAGTTCTCTAAAACCATTTTTTATTTTGCAATTTTTGAGGAATTAAGATTGTTAACCAAACAAAGGACCATGCTATAATTTTCTTCTTTTGTGATATTTCTTGTAGAGTTATGTCCGAAGAAGGCCAATGGGAAATTACGTGAGCTCTTAACAAAAGCATATACCCCTCCTCTGGGTTAACGTCGGGGCAAAGAGGGACATCCCTGTAGCTTAGTAACATCGAATCTGGTCACTGGTCCATTGCAAATTGACAATACAATGGTGCCAGTCAAAGTTGACAATTTAACGATTATTTCCCTCGACTAATTGTCCCGCACCCTATGTAATCTGCTCAATCGCAACACAAGCATCCACCCCTCGCCACATTCATATCCCGAACCCCAGTGAATTATCCGAGCCACAGCCGTTTAATTCAAGTTTTATTAAGGGTCTCCACGCACTGTAGATTTCGGTCCGGAGTTTGAGAGAGGTTACAGTAGTTTTCAAGAGGATGCCATGCTTTGCGGCAGTTTGGAGTTACATGTCACAATATGGAGCGATACTACTACGCTCTTCTCCTTCGTTTACACTGCAATTCAGGTACATCACCCGGTTCCATTACAACTTGGTGACTTGTCATTCCACATCGGATGATGCAGCTGTTGACCAATGGTGGTTGTAAACACACAACATTGGAATAGTCGGGAAAGTGGAAAATGGATCACCTATTTCTAGAAGAATAAACTAATAACTGAAAAATTGAATACTCGAAACCCGTAACACAAAAGTTGCAAGTTGACTGACTTGAAAAAATGAAAAATAAAAATTGAGAGCCAAAACTCTATAAATATAATTTTAAAAAGTGGATGAATATGGCTTGACGAAATATGAAATTCCCTATATCTCATTGAGTTTTCGTTCTGTTTTTTTTCCTTTTGAATTTACAACTTTTTTGTCTGGGGTGTTCGGTGTCAATTTTTAGTGTTTTTAAATTTTGTTTTAAATATCCAATACACAACTATTCTGTTGGGGGGTTTCAATCAGTTTTTTCCTTATTGCTACATTCATCCAGTTGCAGTTTTTCGTGTTTTTTTCTTTTTCATCTTTTCTAAAATCTTATACGGCCATTTTTCAATTTTCTCTGTTAGTAACATTTCTGTTTCTTTTACGTTCAACTTCTCTATCGTTCTGAATTCTATTCTATGACTAATTAGTCATAAAAAAGGACGAATGGTTCGAAGAATGATCCTTTTCGTTCGATTACTTCCAAGATGATTATTCTTAATTTAAATCGTCCCCGCAGATTCATGTGAAAGAAATTCCAGTGCTACTAGTGTATTTTCGTTTTTGATGGCTAAGGAATTCAGTCTTAATTTGTTCTATTCGCACAAATTATTTTTTTTCATGCATATTTTTAGAAAACCAAAGTAATTAATTCAAAAAACGGAAAAAACATGCCTCACCAAAAATTGATTGTTCTACTTTTTTTTCATTGAATTACTTCTGGACACAGGAATTGACGTACAGTAAACTTCCGTGAGAATTGCACTCGTTAAAGTTGCATGTCCCCCCATATTGATTTTTTGGCGCTCGGCCGCTTCCCCCACTCTACTACTCACGGGCCCCGGAGTAAACTCTCTAACGATATCTCCGAGGAGGTATTGTCTCGCAATTTCAGGAAAGCCGAAAAATAAAATACTCTAAATATAAATTTTCGATCATGAAATTCAATTCCCTCTAGACTGTCATGGAGAGTGGTTCTAGTTTTGTTGGGATCAGGTAAATTAGATGATTGAATCAGAATAAACAAAATAACAGCAAGATTGCCGATGAAAAAGTTAGAAAAAGAGAATTAAGCTGCATTTTCGACTAAAACTAGGAGGTGAGAACCACTTTGATAAAGAAAACAGTTTCTTGATAAAATAAATCAGTTGATTATAAATAAAAAGTTGATTAAATGTGTAACGAAATGTTACCGTGATGATTAAAATTATTCAATAAAGCGTTAAATTCAATAAAACGAAAATTAAATCCTTAGTATTTTTATTTTATGGCTCCAGTGAGAAGGGGGGGGGGGACAGAAATACCGTCGCCTTCTGCGAATTCACTTCCCTATTCCCCCATGAGTGCGACTATAACGGGAGTGTACAGTACTGCTTTAGCTTGGATCAAATGCCTATACCGCTCCCTCTCGGCTGTCCTCGGGGGGTAAAAAAACATTCAGATCAAATATCCTAGACGAAATTACATTTAAATGATGGAAATTCCCTTTCCAAAGAATCTTGTTCAAACGATCCCTTAGTCGCAGTTATTAAGAAAAATAAATGCCCACATTAGTTTTTTCTCATCAGTAAAGAAAAATCCAATTTCCATCCTTTGAAATCCACATCAATAAAGACGTAAAATATTCGCTGCTAGATTTTCCTCAATCACTGGACGAGTTCCGGTTCAAATTTACGAATAGTCAACGAACTCCGGTTTAACTCAAAACCGAGTTTTTTCGAAATGCTGTTCGGAAGCGAGATTAATTAAATTTTTGTTTACATTCCGTGTTTTCGATGGACTAGAAGGTCTGTACGATCACAAAAATCACAGGTGACGAATTTATTTAGAATCCGATTGAATATATGTCGCGTGGAAGGAATGAAGAATAATTCGGTTCAGCTTCACCAGACGATTATTTATATGTGCCTCTCGGCAATGTAGCATTCAGAAAATATTTCACGAAGCATTAACTATGCGCCCTCATCCTGGCACAATTCGTAGTGTATAACCGACGAATACACACACACCTCTGGGGCATGGCTAGAATGCCTTGAATTTTCCTTGTCAGCTAACGATCTTTGCTGTTTAAATTAGAACAACTCTGCATATGATTATATTTCGTTATAATGGTGCATTACATTCTATGTGAGTGTTGGTATCTGCATTGTCATCAACTTTTTAATTGTAAACATTAGTTTGACATGTTTTGAACTTCTTTGAAGAACATGAAGAAGGAGTATGCTGATTTGAGAATCTGGAAAGCGAATAGGACTTTACTGGAAATCATTTCGGTGGCTCCTAAAGGAAACTACGCAACTCAGAACACATTTTAAAACTCAAGTATCTCAAGAATATTGACTGAAACTTTATATCTCAGAGGAGATTATAGAAACCAAGTATCCCAGAGAAAATTCAAAAATACTTAACTCAGTAACTCTGATTAAATATCCTCTAATTCGCTCGATACCTTTATCATTTTCATTTTAATTGTTCGGACAAAGTTTCTACAGATATTTTCATATAATTCTTTGTTTGGGGAATATTTCATACTGGTCGTCACTCGTTAGAAAATCAAACCTCTTATGGCTCTGCGAATATTCAATCAATTTAGTAATTGATAAATTGCTGTCATCCCATTTCTTTTAACATTAATTTTCCATGTAGTTGGGTAATGAAGGGGTAGGTGAATCATTTTGAAACTACTTATTCATTTTATTTAATTGGTTCTTTGTCACTCTATGCATTAATATCTGCGAAAAATTTTCCAGTTATCGATATTAGTTTTTCGGCATTAGCGTTCTGTATCAGTGGGTAACTAGGCATCAGCTAATCCTGATCCCTAACAGATTGATAGGCTTGATTCATAGAAACCATGAATGATTTCCTCAAGCAACAAGAAAAACTGCAACAATTTAGGAGCAAATGATTGGCAGTTTAAATTTCATTCATAGTTTTGACGAAACTAAACGAAGATTAATCAGAACTTCTGAATAACGTGTTTTTGAATTTTCACTGAGATACGTGGTTTTGGAAATGTTTTCTGAATTACGTAATTTCCTGTAGGAGCCATCGCAAATTTGGTACTTGCTAGAGATAGAGCTTGAACTAGCCCTCAATATGATTTCATTAGCTAATAAAAGTTACTTTAATAAGATTAAACGGTAACGCGCATGATCCCCTACATTAAATGCTCAATTTAACTTGAAATTCATTCATAAATCACTCACCGAAATGAAAGTTTCAACAGATAAACTGAAAAGACCTCCAATTAGTAAAATCACGGGCTTCTGGGATCGACTCATTATGATATCCATTGAACGCCGGAATCTTTCATCACATGATGTCCAATCACACGTGTAAATAGCATCGGCCAGGTCACTGAACTGCACATAAAAAACTAGAATTATTAGGACATATTTTCAATTGGATATCTTGTTATAGTCGATACATTGAAACTTGCTTTTAGCGATACTTCGTTTCCCCGCCAACAGTACAAAAATATTTGTATAAGCATGCAGGCTAGATACTGCGCGAGGGAGAAAAACTGAAAGCTCTTTGGAGGCAGCTGAAATATTAATGAAATTCCAATAATAACATATTTGTTCTGCTGCAAAGTATATGTTATTGGGATAAGTATGATGTGATATGTGGCGGAAGGTATACTGACTCGTGCAGCACTTTGGAGAAATGGCAGATCCATTAATTATGGTGGAGTTAACGAGATATGCAAATACATTTGTGGATTAGCCTGGAAATGACAGATATTTATGCTCTTGTCATTCGCGGAGACATTGTTATTTCTGGACGTATTAAATTGGATTTATTCTGAGTTTGATTATTATTGCTTGATAGAGGTTAATTCCTGAATTAATTGGCTACTCACTATTGTCAATGCGAAAAGACTGGCGCAAACGATCAAACAGCTTGCGATGAATTGGACTAGAATACCAGCTTGGAAAATGTCCTTTATTTCATTTGCAAATCTGAAATCAATATTTACGTGTTTATTGAGCAAAACATACACCTCAAAGTGTTGAATATTACAGCCAAAAATTACAGCCATTCTCTAAAAAATCACGGATTCACAGTAGACACGGTCATAACCAGCATCAAAAGAATGCTTGTTAACTATGCTGCTGCAACGCATGATCATCCTCATCCCAAATATTTACCTCTCTATGGCGAGGGCGAATTCCACGCAAGTGGATACTCTCGCTTTCATGTCCTCTTGGGAAATTTGAGGGATGATAACAGGGGGTATCTCCAATCTGCTGTTGTTGTTAGATGATTTCTGGACCAAACGCTTCTTCATTCTCGTACCCATCTCCGATTGTTTCTCAGTCTCCTGCGCAACGTTTTCCAATTCCATGAGCTTCTTTCCAGCTACAGTTCGAGGTGTTTCCTCGCCCGGACAAATGAAGATATCCTCGAAGATCGTACCGTAGTCTTCTATCAGAACATCTAGGTGTCCAGACATCATTTTCAGAAGTCCACAGATGACAGTGTCCGTCATTGTGTTGAACATGGTGTTGTAGGTTATTGCGATTGTCTGATAGGCGTAGACTAGCTCAAATGTTGGGGATCTGGATATGTCTAGTGGACACCACATGTTGTAAGCTAACTCATTTTCCTGGAAAGAGAACAGGCACTGCATAAGTAGTTGACATTGTGGAAGTGGATGACTTTTATTTTAGAAAAGACAGTACTATTACAGTAGCTTGGTCAACTGTCTTGATGATTGTAGCCAGAACATGCATTCTGAATAAGTTAAGGAATCCGATGAATCATCGGATGATTATGAGGGAAGTCTCATTTGAAATAAAATAGAGGGGAGCGGAGGAACCCTCAACGGGAAATAATCAGGCCATCATCAGGTTTTCCTAGTCATTAAACGTTATGAAAAATATCAATTTTGATAGGTTATTCTAGATGAACCAGTTCGAATCAATGAAAGGAAGTCTTTTGATTTTCTGAGTCGCATAGGCATGGCCTATCGTGAAATAATCCTAAAAAAGGTCAAGTCAAGTCGCCGATTTGATTGAAGTTAGAGATGTGCGTACTGCATCGATACTTCGTGATATCTATATTTTGAGCTTCGATTTCCGATATTTTATATCGACTGTGACCCTTCAATATTTAATTAATATTATTTCCTAAAAGGGGGATTTAGGGCAATTAAATAATGAGGACAAATGAGGGATAAAATTAACTAAATATCTATATTTCTAGTAATTTACAGATTAGATCGTCGTAAGACGTTTGAAATGCCTTTTACTTGGATCTAGGGTTATGGGTAAGGCCAGGCAACTTTTGTACACGTAAAAAGGGGAGTGACTCTAATGCAGAAAAAGGGGAGAAGCTAGTCGTGTCGAGGGAATGCAACTAAATATAAGAATAATAACTGAATGGGGAAGAAACAAAAGAATGTAGGCTCACCGTTGGGGGGTATGAAGGGTAATATTGTGGGGACAAGAGGGAAAATGAGGGGGGTAACTCGTACTCACGATGGGACTTCACTCTGGCGAACACGTGGAATTCCACCGGCGCCTTGCACTCCTTCAAAATACCAGGGCGTTTTCCTGGAGAGCCTCCTTTCCACCTCGGGGTTTCCTGGGCACCAATACTAGAGCTGGGATGAGCTCGATGTATCGAAAATCCTCTTTTTATCCGCCAATACTTCCGGGCGAATTTTACTGTATTCACTATTACTACTTTCGGGGCACGTGGCGACTCACGGGGCAGCTAATGCACGAGTGACGGTCTCTTCTTTTCCTTCGCGATTCGTGGGGGTTCGTCAGGTGTCGATGTCCTTCGGGTTTTAATTCGGGAGCAATCGGGGCCAATCAGCACGGGTGAGTGGTGACGATGACCACAATCCAGGGATGTCTCGCAAGGGATTATTGCTGGTGGTGAATATTCGGGGGTCTAGTATGGGGAATTTCCAGGAGGCGATGGCTTCTCCAATTGATCGGGTGGGGCCGGAACTGATGTCTTCCTTCGGCTGGTGTCTTCGTGATGTCCAGGGGCAGGGGCAGAGGGGCGATGAGGGGAAAAGTGAGGGAAGGGGTATCCAACGGTGGCAGGATTTACCTTTTAGGGGGCAGTGTGTAGTGGGAAAAAATATGTAGAAAAATAATAAAAAATAAATGAATATGCCTCGTCACACGACATTCCCTCGTCGCGATATCGGGGGTATTGATATTTTTTGTGTGATATTGTTAGGGGAGATGGGGGTAAAAGGGACACCTTAAAGAAAAAATCACTTTACCCTAAGGTAAATCCATTGAGAAACTTTCTAAGGATCTACAACATAACGACAATAAACAACAAGACCTGTCCATGAAATTATTTCTAGAAAAGATGGTGGCAAAATGGACCACGCCAAAAATGGGCCAATCTAATTTTTTTTTGCTTCCGACTGGAAACTTTATAATTGGTCGATTTTTCGGTTCTCTAATTTTAATTGGAAATGACTCAGAATATCATGAAACGTCGAGATATGATGTTTTTAGACAATGTCTGTGTGTACGCACTCCACCTTGCCCTATCACGCCCAACATTATTTTCCAAACAGCGGGAAAAAAAGTACTCAGATCCAAATGTGGAAGGGGAACTTTCCATTTTAAAAAGCCTTCTCTTCAATACCCTCGAAGGTCATTGAAGGATATCGAATGAGTAGTTCTAGAGATATTTACCTTTGTGTATAAAACTGTACTGTAAAAGCTGTCGAGAACTATTCATCCGATTTCATATTTTTTCAAAATATTAGTCTGAATATCTCCTATCTAGTTCTTTCAAAATATATATACCCATCGACACAAGGTTTACGAGATCTTGACGTTTATCTATTTTTTTGGTCTGAAAGCTGCTTTGGCGTTTCGTTACGTAATGAGTGAATATTGTGGTCCATCTGTATCTATAACCGGACCCGCAGTATTCAGTTCAAATGGGGTACCTTTGTGACATATTGAAATATCCATATCTCGTTACTCTATGAAAATATTTCTAAAACATAAACAGCATTCTCTTTGTTATCTACTGAGGGACCTTTTTTTATTGAGAACATTTTGAAGTACGACGTCATTTTATGACGTTGATAGTGCTTAAACAGCCAGTAGTAGGCCTACTGGTGGACGAATTCACTGGGAGCGCTGCGCATCGTACTATAAAATTCATATCAATTTGAAGTAGAGCTCGACTTGAATCAAGTATCTTTCCTTTTTTAATCAAATGGATTCTGAATTACCATCAATTTACATAAAACAATTTTTTTATACACCAAAATGAGTCGAAAACTCGGCCAGAGTAGATTATAGTCTTTTTGTATGAATCGAGTAAAAAAATACTTCAATAAAGTCGCGATCTACTTGAATCGAGAAATGTTTATTTGGATATATACGGTAATGATTAAAAAGTAATATAAAATACAGGTGGCGAAAGTGGTCTTCGGCCAGTGGTAGGAAGCTTCACAAAGACCTGATAAATGATGTTGGTCCTGATAGAATTCCCAAATGAACTGATCACTGATTGACCTTCTCAATAAAACCATTGTTCTAAAAAACTCACCTCTGATTTCTTATCGAACAGGGGCCAGAATGTCCAAAAGATAGTAGCACAGATGCCCGATGACAAAAAAATGATTGAATCCCTCCTGGCAATTCTCATGGATTCATTCATAACATCGAAATGGGATGGCAACCGTGGCTTGAAAATTGGTTCATTTAGTGTATTGAATAGTTCCTCGAGTCTCCTTCGATACCACAGAATTGAATGATATTTACAGGCCATTGCGCAGTAGGAAATCATCAAGTATATTGAATGCATGAGTTTCTCCAAATCCGTTATAACCATAAGGATGTGAATAAATTGGAGGATGAAGAATGAACCAAACCAGATTGTTGGGGATATTGAGTTGTAGATGTAGTAGATGTATCTGTGAACAAGTCGGTGATTGGATATTTTCAATAGTAAGATTCTTATCAGTGAGATTGGATCAGCCTTTTACAGTGCACTCCCGTTATAGTCACATTCATGGGGTAGAGGGGAAGCGAATTCGGAGAATGTGACTATATTTTGCTATCTCCACCACGTGCTCAACCGGAGTGAAGTTTTTGAGAACTGGGAGCCATAAAATAAAAATACTAAGAACTCAATTTTGAGTTCATTGAATTTAACGCTTTATGAAATAATTTTAATTATGACGTTAACATTTCAATACACTCTTAATTAATTTTTTTTTATAATCAACCGATTGTTTTTATCAAGAAACTTTTTTTTTTATCAAAGTGGTTCTAGTCTTCTAGTTTTAGTTGTAAGATTCATCTTAATTCTTTTTTAAACTTTTTTATCGGCAATCTTGCTGCTATTTTTTTTATTCTGATTCATTATTTAATTCACCTGATCCTAACAAAGCTCTTTCCATGATGGTTTAGAAGGATCTGAATTTCATGAGCGAAAATTCATATTGAGAGTGTTTTATTTTTCGGCTTTCCTGGAATTGAGAAACAATGGCTCCTCGAAGATAACGCTGCAGTGTTTCCTCCACGGCTCCTGGATAGTAGAGTGAGGAAAGCGGCCGAGAGACCAAAAATCTACATAAGCGGAAATGCCACTGTAACGAGTGCAACTATAACGGGAGTCTACTGTACTTTCAAATGTGCAAAAACTCTCGAGACCTTTTAAAATAGAAAATTCTACCGAATGCGATGCTTCCATACGTAATCCAAAACAAAAACTAATCTTTACTTGACAATCTCCTTGAAAACCGACAATTCAGAGCACAATTTCCTCACCTGAGAGATTTATTTTTTACTCCAGCCGGCCAAATTCCCGCGTATTTCCATATGGTTAAGTTGAGTTTGAATGCATTCACGGGCTTATACTCGCTCTTGTTCATCTCTAAAAAGGGTATTTTCCCAGTGAGCTGTAGAATCCTACTGAATACGATGACGTATTGTCCAACTTCCGGACCTAGACTAAAACTTGCCTGCAGTACACAGATGTGTTATTAACGAATGGGCAGATGTCTAATTGATAGTCTTCATCGAAATAGCAAATTGCCATTACAAATTCTACTCCACGAATGTTGCATCGAGGCTATTGTTTATTCATGAGTAACAGGTTTGGCTTTCTCATGACCCTGTTCGACAGTAGGAAAACAAAAATTGGAAATAGGAAACTCTAGGGAAGGGGACATGTTAAGCAAGTAATTATGGCTCCATTCGGTTGTCGGAGGGGGTTGAGTGTTGCTATTGGATGTTGTTGGACTGTATGTCCATTTGCGATATTAATTATGGGATATGCTCATTCCGTGTTGAGGAGTATTAATGAACGGCTAGTGGATCCCACCATTGTCCCCATGCCAAAGTACACGTACACTGAGGAGTATATGGTAATTACTGGTATTGATCATTTCGATTGTTGACTTGGAGTTTTGGGAATATTTGAAGATACAAAGTTTCAGTCAATATTCATGAGATATTTGAGGTTTGAAATGTTTTCTGACTTATGTTTCCTTCAGGAGCCACTGTCGCAAGCCTAGAGTAGTAGTAAATAGATACTAAAAGAGAATAATATGGAAATGGATAATTGATTTTTCCATGCAATAAATGGATCATTTTTTCCTCTTAATTAAGAAGAAAAAAGTACTCCTTTGTTCCAAACGAGATAGTGGGGAGTAGGTCAAGCATTTAATCCTTCTTCGCAATTAAGTTTTCCTCTTCCAACGCTGGGGTAACTGGTAGATTAACAAGATCACGGTAAACGCAATTTCATTCTACCTTAATCACAAATATCTTTTGTCAAATCACCGAGAGAGTCTTACGGGTCTTTGACGCTCACAAGGTTAGCTCCGACTAACTTTCTGCCTTGCGTTATATTGGAGTTTAAATGGAAGTGTTGAGGAAGTTCACCAGGCGCCCAGGAGTGACGAGCACTGCTGGAGAAAATTTCAAAGGAAAAAATGAGGGTGAAATATTTTTTGAAACGTCAAAATTTATTCTGGTCGACTATGCCGTCTTCATATGGTACAGTTATTTTTGCTAACAAATCAGCAATGTGCTTCCGAATGGTCATTTTGCACGTCATTTTCTTCTATGGTATACAATTCATTGTTTATTTTATTTTATCTTCTTGAATTGAATGAGATTGATTTTAAAACAATTGTGTCAGATTTTCAACTTAGCTGAATGTTATGATTATCATTACTCTTATTATCCCTTTCTTGCATACAATCAATTGTGTTTTTGCGGTCGTATCACTCCCCTCACACTTTTGTTGCTTCACGGGCTGACATTCTCGTCCTAACTACATGGCATTTACTTTAGGAGCTATATTTCCCATTTACGTTTCGGTGTTTATATTTTCGTTCAATCCGTTTTTATTTTCGTTCGTTTCCTAGTTATTGAAATTGGATTTTTTATCGGCTCTGTATTCCACGGGTTTGTCGTCTACATAAGCCTCATTTAGGCCGTTATTGTCGGTTATGATTAATGTATGATGGGAAATTTGGAATTTGCAAAAATCATAATAAAAATTACATCAACAGATATAGCTATCGTACTTATCGTTCAATTTCGACAGTGTGGCATTGAAACTGTTTTAAGCTATAATTGAATTCATTTGAAGCATGATATCTCAAGATATCGCCGAAATTCCAATTTTCAAAAATACAACAATTTTGCAAATTTTTATATAAATCAATACAACGATTATTGCTATCGCCTTCAGCTTTGAACTTGATTAAAAAGGCATCCGACCACATTTTTTAAGCCTTCATTCAGTGAATTCAGAACATTTTTTTTAGTTATCGTGGGACTATTCATTTTTACAAAAAATTTAAAACTTAGAAAATTTAGTGCATGAATTCAATTTTTACTCAATGTCAATGGATAAGGCTCAACATTACCTACATTTGAGAAAGACAAATGATTTAATTTCATTGATTCTGTTAAGGATTGATGATAATTTTCCAAGGGTTGGGTGAATCGAGAGTAGGAAGTGAGTGGATGATTAAGCCGGGATGTGAAATAAAAGAGATTTTAGCCACAAGGCAAATCTATATATTGTCACTCAAGTCAACGATATTTACACTCTTTGCACCATAAATGTTACTTGATAATTGTCCACAAATGACACTGATTATTTTCCACCGATAACTCATTATTTGACACGATAATTGAAGATGAAATAACCGTGATAATAACGATTGATGAATGATACAATTTTATAGTGATCACCGTGAATACCGAGATGTATACCCTATACGTGATGAATTGATACCGATCCGTGTCTTCCAAAAGCCGATGTGAACTTTATGCCTGATGAATCCGTACTCCCGCGATGGCCGGTCGACCCCAATGGCCTCTCGAACTCTAAACCCGATCTCACCCGATTATTCCTGACTGGCCCATACCGCGAAACGGTCTCAATTTTAAACAGATTCATTAACGAACAATTATCGAAAATCTTTGTCACACATAACACACATAAACACACACGTACGTACAGAATTTAAAAATAGCATTTTCGGACATTTGGGATCATAATGGGTCGATATAACACAAAAAATATGAAATGTAAATTTAAACAATTACAAAGCTTCCATTCGGAAGCGACAATTATACCTTCATGGTTGACGAAACTGACAATTGTGCGATAAAAATCAAAGAGCAGAATTTTAACCCTTTCACCGCTTAATTACAAGCAGCAGTTGTCCGAGTTTAATCGAAATTCCAGTGTTGCATTTGCACCAGTGAAAAGAACCAACAATTTCAACTCATATTTTCGGATATTTGGTGCAGACCAACACGGTAACCAATAAATCATGCAGGTTTATGGGTAACACAACAACCCGCTGTTAAGCTTTTCCCCAGTGCTACCGTATCTTCAAATGAGCTCTCCCCCGATGCAATTTGCAATGAGCTCCACATAAACACTTACTATTGGAATCCTAGGAGAGGGAAATACCATGGAAAGGCACAGATTTTCATTTTGAAAGGTTCCGCAGTAACCGGAAGACTGAACAAATTCGATATCGCAAATATTGTGTGAAAATTTCTTCATAAAATGCAGAATTTTTCTGGTTCCCATGCATCTCAATTTTTTTTATAATGTCAGTTGTGCCATAAAAGTTGCTGATTGTGTCGACCCAGCGTAAAATTAACAAAGGAAAATTCATGGTAACCGCAAAGATTCAAAAAAGAGAGGAAAATGAGACGATGTTCATCACTGTGTGCTCTCATTCGTGTGTTGAATCTCTGGCCTTTCCTTTTGAACCACCGCTGTGGCATCGTTTCGCGTGGGATGCAAGAGCCGTGACCGGGTCTTTATGAATTCAGAGTGAATGAGTGCCGGAACTCTTCTCGAAATTTTTTCAAAAACCCTCGACTCAGCTCTTTCATTTTTTTTCGAATTCAACCACTTGATGACGAGCTTCACGGGATTCAAGTAACGAGAATCCTCGTTATTTGAGAAAGAGTAATTATTGAAGGAGTTCTAGACTTGATTTTGGTAGATTTTCTACCCTTTTCTCGTACAGTAGACTGTCGTTACAGTCGTACTCATGGGGGAATAGAGAAAACGAATTCGTAGAATGCGACTGTATTTCCCTACCCCCACCACGCACTCATGCGGTGCGAGATTTCTGAGAACTGAGACCCATGAAATGAAAATATTATAAGCATTTAATTTTCGTTTTATTCAATTTAACGCTTTATTGAATAATTTTAGTCACTACGTTAATATTTCAATACACATTTAATCAATATTTTTTCAATAATCAACCGATTTTTTCATCAAGAAACTTTTTTTCTTATCAAAGTGGTTTTAGTCTTCTAGTTTTAGTTGTGATGGTGACCTTAATTCTCTTTTTTTTCAATTTTTTATCGGCATTCTTGCTGTTCTTTTCGGTATTATAATTCATCATCTAATTTAGGGCCGTTTAGTGATGATTAGCGTTTATGCCGGAAGATGCTGATAGAAATTGGCAGACGCATGGAAAGTTTGGTTATGTCGGTAAGGAAACGCGCATGGAATAGTGTATTTCGACATAAGACCTAAAAAAAATTTTCTAGCGAATATAAGGTTGTTAAGCTACCTAGACCTTCTTCGCATCTCCGAATTTCAGAACTTATGCATATCGTCTATTATTCCTGGTCGTAATAATTTCTTTCATTTGCAAGACCTTCACTTCAAAAAAAATATTGCAATTCCAATGTGTGATTATTGTTTTTTAACTTCCCGACCCGAAGGGAGGAAGTTATTGTAATGACCCCGAAAATGAAATGTTGAATTTCGATGATTTGTCCACGTTTCGTGAACTCTAGAGTCATCCTGAAACGTTTCTGAAGAAATGTATGTGTGTGTGTGTGTATGTGCGTGCGTAGCACCGTATGTGAGTGAAATTTTGTCCAACGGTTTCTCCGGAACGAACGAACCGATTCAACTTCTTTTTTTTTTGATCGATGCGTCTTCATGTAACTTAGAACTGATTAGATTATGGAAATGATTGCCTCAGCGGTTTTCCAGTTATCTGCATAAAACATATGAGAAAATGTCAAACAACGTTACTTTCACTGAAATTCGACGATTTCATCTGAAATAAAGATGGAATTTGAATCAATTTCGTGTAATCGCTGCGTCATCATGTATCTTGAGTGTAATTCGATTTTGAGCGAAGTCCCATCATTGGTTTTTTAGTTATTTCAATAAAACTTTCGAATTTTCTTCTATGGGTATTTCCTCGAAGAAATGTGAGAAAAAGATTGAATAAATACATAATACAAAAATTAATGTAAGAAAAAACAAATGGTCGGGAAGTTATTGGTGCGACCGGTAATGGGTCACCCCCAATTCCACCAACCCCTACCGATCATACCCCAAAGAGGCAGCGCGCGAAGCGCGCGACCGGGCTTGATTTTTTTTTCTACCGCTCTGAGGAATGATGTATATTGTTAACTGAATGTATAAAATGAGAATGTCATGTACTTATAGAATAAATTATTTTATATTGTACATCAAGAATTCTTTCTACGTATAAAAATGATTTATTAGAAATAAATAACGTTAATCACAAATGTTTCCTTGATTTCTACTAAAGACTTCATTAGTTGGGAATATAGTATTTTGATCACCAAGGCCGGAAAATCATGTTTTTTCGCCCGAGGTAGACATGCTATTTTTGAACACACTTGGAAAGAAAAGTTTGTATTTTGCTTCTTAATGAGCGGAAGGGAAGTGAATACTTTCCACCCTAAAGCGGAAAGTACTCACTTTCTCCCGTTTATCAGGGGTTAAAATACAAACTTTCCGCGCAGGTGTGTGAAAAAAAAATTTTTTTCAATGGAGAAGAGACCGATCTTGCTAATGTACGATAATGCTTTTGTGGTGATTAAAAATTCAGTAATTTTCGGTTTATGATAATGATTATTAAATTTCTCTAGTGCACTATGAAAGATTCTTATTCTAATGAAACTGGGTGCAATAATATTCTGGAACAAGAAAATTATCAACATTTCTTTATTCGACTTCTTCATTCATTGTAATTTCCAAAGATAACAAAAATAGTGTATATGCATAACCAATCCCTGCTGCATCATCGTCCGCATACTGCTATCTCCAATGACATTTTGGTGCCATTCACGTTTTCACACCGGTTCCAAACTCGGATAGTCTTTTGCGCATTAATGTGTAATTCGGTTTCAGCTGCAATAATCACCAGAGAAATTAAAACATGAAAACTCCAGCAATAAGGAATTGGCGGGGCATTTATTATCATATACTGAGAGAGAACAGATTTTTGCGAACGAAAAAGAAATTATTGCCATTGAATTTTTTTAATGGTCCGGACGACGCTTTGAAAGGACGATCAAAAGATTTAAGGGTATACGTCGGTGAAATTTCAAAGTCTTCACTGGGCCTTGGGACCCATTGAACTAGGGTAAATCGCGAACCCGATCGATTTTGCCCCCGTATAACCACGAAAAACTTCATTTTTTCCTGTTTTTACCTTAAAAATGCTTCTTGCGCCGTAGTTTTCTTACGATTTTAGCTTTTTGTTTTAATGTTCGTTACACTCTGAACAATAAAGTTCAGCATTCGTTTTACTTTATTCGCAATAGATCATGAATAAATGAATTTTGAATATCATAAATTTCCTTTGGAACCCACATTTCGCTTCAACCTACCATTTATTTACCCTTTACGCACTCGAAATTCACTTCACGTGTGCGCTTGAACTTTACGTACTCGTGCACAAAAACAACCACATTACAGTATACTATTGCAAAATAACTCGTTCAAGTTTGTTTCAATAAATAATTCAGCACGGTAGGAAATTTTTTCAACTTTTTTTCATCACAAAATTTTTCTGTTTCTAAAAACCTCAAACTAAAAATTGATAACAGTGCGGGCACGCACTTTTACCAGATTATTAACAAACGTTGAATTGCCGAAATTCGCATTCTAAAATGTGTTCTAGATGAAATTGAATTGTAATTATGATTAAAATCTTATTCAGTGAGCATAGGAATTAGATCATGCATAAATCATTTATTGCAATGTGAAAATTTAACAGATGATAAATTAGGAAATGATTTTTGTCGGTCATATTGTTTTTAGCAATGAAAATATTTGTAAAAAATTAATTGAAAAAAGGAATATTGGATCTGGCAGGAAAAAGGGCATAATGAAAGTGGATTAACAACCCAGGCGCTTGTGTCCGGGGTGGCGCTACACTGAGAAAAAAATTGCTTCTGCCAAGTATATTTACTTGTCACAAGTAAATGTACATAAATATCTGCATGAGACATGTATACATTTTCTTGTAGTTAGTAAATATATTCAGTATCCAGAATAACATGAGAGAAAAAACTCCAATTGAAAAAAGTCGAACTCGAAATCTCTCGAATGAGAACAAGCTTTAGGGCGACACCGAAAGATGGCATTGATAAAAAATAAGCACTCTGAATGGGCATATTCATGAGCGATTTTTTCCCAAATGGTGGCTCAGAGGGGCACCTCACGCAGCCGGTTTAAGCTGTAGTGGTTTGTGCTCCAAAACAATCAGAAGATAAAAAATGGAACAGTCTCTTGATATGTACAGAAAAATTCTGAAACCAAAGAGGAAGTGTCATGTGAAAGGTTGTAATAGTAATACAACCAATAATCCTGAATTGAGCTTCCATACTCTGCCTCCACCGAGTCGTGATTTGTTGATGATAACCTCACCCAACAAGCCGATGAGAATAATTGATGCACGTGAAATTTGGCTTCAACCTAATCGGGTTTTGCAAAATATGGGGTAATTTATTCAAACCACTCGGCTTTAAACATAAAGATACCAAATCAACCTGCAAACCTCTATTGGTTATGGATGTTGCACCACAAAAAACCACATTTTGGGAATTTAGGACTGTTTGCCCCTCTACAATATTTCTCGAGGAAACCGTACTATTAACAAAATTAAAAATTTGCCCCAAATTCAATGTTAACATTTTGATTTTAATAAATATTTATTAAACAAAACTGATGGTGCTACATTGCTCCGATTTGACAACCGCATAGCGCCTCAGAGCCTCCATGCGCGCCTGTAGTGGTACCGCCCGCGGTAAATGGCGAGCCCAATTACGACAGGAAATATTGTGAAATCCATGCAAATTCACAGAGAACAGCAACACGAAACGGGTGACAAAGTTGCAAAATAAAAATGATGTGAAAGTGTCACGTGAGTCCGAACACTTTGTTTGTCGCAATTGAAACGGCTAAGTCATTTTTAAATATTCGAGAAATTTCTCGCGTTTTCACACCAATTTTAGAGAACTATCGAGTTCTCTAAAAAAAAAAAGAGGAAATTTCCGGAATTTATGGGAAATTCGAGGCAATTTTTCGAAGTTTTAGAAAAATTTCAAATTCACGAAATCGTCGAATTGAATTGTGGAAAAATTATGAATGGATAAAAAATACTCAAAATTGGTATGAGGACATCAGAGTTGGTTAGATAATGTCAACAGAAAAATTATTAAATGCGTCTGAAGAGAATCAAAGCGGAATAGGAGAGCGAAGCGAAAACTGATAAATTGTGAGCATGAAGAAGTTTCATGATTATTGTTTCACATTGTGCCCGAGCAACGCTACACTTCCTGTTCTAATTGAATAAGATTTCAATGACTTTTTCACTGAATAGATTTCATTTATAATGCTATCTAGACCTTATCCAGTGAGAACAGGAATTTCCAAATTAGCAAATTACTTATTGAAATATGACAATTGAGCAGGTAATAAATGGAGAAACATTGTTGTCACAATCATATATGGTACGATGAGAATAATTATAAATACTTAATTTTTGGGAAAATTTGGAACGGAAAAAAGATCAAAAAGATAATGAACACCGGGGCATCAACCCGCTAGTACAGTACTGCTTCATAATCCATGCATCCTTTGCTCTGTGGTAGTTATATTTTTTTGCAATAAATTCTGTTATACTTTACCTCTCCTTAGGCAGTCGTATTGGTCTAACATATAGTCAAAAAGATCGTTTTGTTCACTATCGGTGAGATTATGTTCAAAGATTTTCTGGAATCTGTCGATATTTAGGTTACCCTGGTCGTTGACCTGTTGAACAAAGTGGAGAATGTATTTTAGATTAGAAAATTTTCATTAGCATATCGATACTACACTGAGAGAAATTTCAATGGTAATTTCAACTATAAGGGAATTGTCAAAAAAATTATAATTATGATAACGGTAATTACGGAAATTCTAGTGTTCGGCACGAGAAACGAGGCGCAAGTTCATGAATTTTAAGTTCATTAATTTTTGCAAGGAAGCACGTTGAAAATATTAGAGCTAGCACTACAAAATTTCCCGGGGGGGGTCAATTTTGTGGGAAATTCTGGAGAAAATTGTGTGAAAAACTTCATTAATTCTTGAAAACATTGGAAATTTTATTGGGCAGTCGGGAAATTTTCAGTATCAGCACTGGAATTTTTCACATTCTTCCTATCCTCGTACGTATCCGCCCGACCTCGGCAACGTTCGGTTCACCGAACTGAGCCGAACAGTTGCACTCGGGTATCCCGAGGTGGGGCTTACAGATAACGTTTCCATGTCAACGTCGGGCAACGTTAGTACGGGTTCTGCAGAATTATATGCTAATCAGTGATAATTGTGTTCATTCTTGTATGAAAGTTTGATTAACCATATAAAATCAAGATTATGTGTGAAAAATGCATATGTGAAATAAAACTGTCATGGAAATTGTGTCGTGGCAGATTTATGACAGATTATTGTTAGTGCACTTATATCACTAGAACTTGAATTTTAAGGTGTATCCCTAGAAAACAGGGTTTTCTTACGATGGTCCTCATGTTTTTCATAGGTAATGTTTCATAAGTAATGGAAATTTCGTGAAACCATTTCTTATTTGATTCAAACAGTCAACTAACAATTAATTTCTTATTTGATTCACATAGTTATTGTTGCCTTCATCAACAACATGAAAATAGAAAAATTCATTAACTTATGAGAATGCAATAAATTAAGTCATTTACACGGACAAAAAAATATAATCAAAATTACCAGAGAAAAATGTAAAAATTACATTTTGAAAGGTAATCTGCAAGCGAAGTCAAATTCAATAAAAAGTTTGAGCTGGAACGTAAATTCTAAAAATTAACCAGCCGTCTGTTGACTCACCGCTGCGGGGACAACAAGTCGTTCCGTAATTTTTTCCCATCGATTGAGAAATTTTACAGAACGGAACGTAAAAATAACTTACCAGCTTCAGAATTTGTGGGGTTGGAAGCATAGGGGAAGGTGTGCCTGTACCGCTCAGCGGGTAATACCGCTCACCCGATTTTCTCCACGACCATCAACTTGAAAATTTCTTTCTGTTCCTGCTCATGAAGAATTTGATGATAGAATATGATTGTCGGAAAAATTTCACTTTATTTACCACTTTAAATATGAAAAAACACGTAACGAAGTTTTGAGGTCTTTAGAGTGCAAAATTTGTGGACTTGTAATTAAGTAGTTTCAAACGCTGAATTCTCATATTAAACTGTGGTTATTCGATTCGTGGTACTTTCACGCGTAATTTGAGACCAATTCGAACTCAAAACTCCACTCATGTCAATAATTATCAACAATTTTGTTGACGCCGAGCGGAGCCGGTAATACCGCTCATAGGATCGGCCACGTAGTTGCTCGACAGCACTCGAGTACAGGTTAGGTTGGGGCGCGAGCGATACACGCAAAATCCTATGAGCGGTATTGAAATCGTGCCGAGCGGTATTACCCGACGGCGGGTAGTACCGCTCAATAGGCTCTCTTTTGTATTTTCAATCAATTTTGTGGATTCTAAGGAGAATTAGGCATCTACACTTCGAAAATAACGAGTTCAATAGTTAAAGAAGTCTCACAAATACGTTTTTTATACTCAAGTTAAAATATAAAATATAAAATTGGCATTTTCCCTTAGGTGGGCGGTACAGGCACACCCTCCCCTAATAAGTTGAGAACTTTGTGTAAGATTTTACTTTTTCGGGTAAAATTACGTGGCAATTTCGCACTTTGTTCGGTGATGACCCTGAGAACTCACTGAACGTTTCAGATTTATTCCCTTCCATTCCTATAAAAATGTGATTCGATCTGATTCTATGACTCAATCTAAATGGAATTAATACTTGATTCACGTCGGGCGGATATTTATGAAAGTGTATTCTTAGTACCCTTATATCACTAGAATTTGGATTTTTTAAATCAAGTACCTCCCCGGCTTCGATCAAGTATTTGTCAGTTTGAATCAAGTTACTACCTTGAAACAAGTACTTTTTCCGCAGGTGACAACTTGAAATCTTTCTTCTTTAAATAATTGAATTTTCTACTCAAAGTACACCCGAACTACAAATTGATTAAGTTATAGTTATCCTGCTTGAAACAAGTAGAATACATACTAGAATCAAACCTGAAACTACTTGAATCATTCCTTTTTTGTGTATTCATGTATTTCTGATCTGTAAATATCCTACATCTTCATGTAAGAGTAACACATTTCTTCCGAAACAAAATTTCTTAATGTTTACAGTCGCATTAGTATTTGGTACATTCAAAGTCTTACTATTCCAGCAGCTGTGAACACGCACACATCCATCTCCGTCGGATCATCATTATTATACGGAATTGTTTCTGTAAAGAGAAACAATAAATTATCAATTAGCTTGCGAATGGATTCTCATTTTTTAAATTCTTATTCCACTATTCTCTTCTTCTATTTTTTCATGTCATAGTACTATCGTCAATTGAAATGTCATCAAAATTTTGCGTATTATTTCGTTCTGTCAAATAATTCTACATTCTGAGCCTCACAAGACTCGAATTCGTTTTCAGTCCGGGTTTAATCAAGGTTCAATCAATGTTTAATCAGTGCATAGGCGAGATTTAATCAGAGTTTATTCACGATTTAGGCAGAGTTTAATTCAGGTTCTGTCAGAAGGTCGTCGGGACTATGAATCGATATCAATAAGTATTCAATTTTTGCGTCGATCGAATTCTCCCTCTACTTTGATTTCTTTCGTGTTCAGGAATCTTCAAAAGCAATAAATATGATAATTGGTATTCCCTCAACCTCGTATCTCATTATTTTTCATCCCTATCATCATTTACTATTAAATATTAAAAATATCTGCACGGGAAGCCGAACGATAGATGCTGATGCGCCTAGCGCTTTAAGGGGTAAGGATCCAGAAAAAAAAATTATTTTATCCCGACAGCGGAGAATTGAAGCTAACTTATTCAATATTTAATTGAATTTGTTACCTAAAAATTTCCTTTTATCACGATAGAGCTTATGGAAGACTATATTCATGAAAAAATTCATGAAATTCGATTGATCCCTTTTGAGGAAATTAAAAAAAATGAATAAAAAAAACTCCATACATACAGGCACCATCTAAAAATCGCATATTCGGACATTTTATACTGCATTTAGTTACCCTAACACAAACTGGAAACTCAAATTTGAGCGATTACAAAGCTTTCATTCGGAAGCAAAAAGAATCCATTTTTTGTGTAGTTATTCTTCGTTGTAGAATTTTCAACAATTACCGTTATCGATGCAAGACAGTATGAATTTTTCCAAAGGTTTTCTGTAACAAGGGACGTTCGCAAGTGGGTTACAATATGCCACGTAGATCATGGCTAATGCACCGAACACAACGACAAAATTAACGTTCGCCATATTAACACAATAGTGAAGATTATATTGAAGGGTCTACAAAACTTCTGGGCGGCTGAGGTGCATCCACCGATACTTATAGAGCTATACGGATTTTCTTATCGCTTACCATCACATTATGTCGTTAATGGAGACGAAAGAATATTTCGATATGTGGAAAGTATGGGTACCAACGCTGTTGAAAATATTCCAAGTGAACAATTCGGATAAGTAATTTCATCAAGTGGCCGTTCCACTTAAATTTAAAGGAATTTCGTAATCGAAAATCACTTTTTCGTGACGACTAGAAAATGACAGCGCGCTTCGCGTGCGCATAATCAAGATGGTGTTCATTGTATTTTTATTTTTCATTTTTTTGTAAAAAAATAAACGTAACAATAAACAATCAAAGGAACATATCACGCACGAAAAAATTTAATCGAAAAACCTAGCGAATTCGCTAGACAATTCAGTTGCATTTCTATTGAACTTTCTGTTAGTTTTTAATAGTTTTCCATAGAAAATATCCTATAAACAAAGTCAACAGAATTCAATTTTTTCGATGTGACGTATTTGGCTCCTCTGCGGACACGAGACAAAAATACGCAGCTCTCGGCAACCAATCTTATAACCAAAAAGTTGGGCGCCAGTACGTTTTCTCCCAAAACGCACATAACCTAAAATTCGAATTCCACCGAATCAACCAACGACGGAACAGCTGCCGAAAGCTTAGTATATCAACCACGGAGGCGGCTGGGTCCTAAAATGCTGCCCCGAAAAATTATTTTTCGTGAGAAGACCCGGTAAACCGCGATTCTAACCTCGCTTCGCTCGGTTTGATCGCGGTTTACGGGCCTTCTGACGAAAAATTGCATTCATCACACGGTCCAAAAGTATTTTCTGACGAATGTGATTATATATATATATATATATATTATACAAAGCCACATTCGTCAGAAAATACTTTGTGGACCTTGTGATGAAAATAACTATTGAAATGACGAGATTCCAATTTACCAAAGAGAAATCACAAATGCGGGGTAACAGGATAAATTTAATAAAATAATTCCAAATTACAAATAAAATATAATCAAATGAACCACGTCTTATTCTCGACATCCTAGGCACTCAATCCTCGGAAATAAGACAAAAATCATTTGCAAAATAATAAATAAACGATTGAAGACTCTATACCGCACAATTTCCTAGCTGCTATATGTCAAAAGATTAAATACTAGTCAATTAAAAGACATTCAAAATTAGTCAAATAATCCATAGTCTAAGAAAAGGTCAAACGGTAAAATAACTAGTAAAATTACCAATGAGTCCAAATAACCGCGGTGCGGGAATCTACTATTAACCCGAGAAACCAGCGCGTCCACCCAGTGACGAAAATAAGAATCTAACTCTTCTGGCTATTGAGAGGGGGATTGCCTCGAGAAACGAAAACAATACAGCCGACAGCTGACTAAAGGTCACCCGGCACAAGACAATAACTCGAGCGCCGAAAAACGCTACAATCCCTCTGACAATAACTACGATAATTCAACGGTCTCTGAACGAATACGCCGAAAATTCAATGTGATGAAGTTAGGTTTTCAGAGGCCGAGAGAAATACTAGAAATACCTCGAGAGAAAAATATTACTGATCTCGAAATCTCAAACCGCCGTAATACTCGAAATTCAATATTAAATACGCGGCGGAGGGGAAACGAGAGTCAACAAAATCAACTATTAGAATCACTGAAATTTACTGAAATCTATCCGGAGAAACAAAATACATATTCCATAAATTCACCGGACAATTTAATCAATCAAAAATTGGACCCAAAAATAATGACTTTGTCGAACAAGGAGTGAGCATCGGCCTGCAAATCTTACGAACTCAAATGGCATCAATCACTATGGACCAAGCGTCTCTCAAAAGCTAAATGCCAAACTCACTCCTTGTGAGACACTTTTAACACTTCAAAATAGATCCACCGCTCACCAATCAATTAAATCCCGATGCCGGTAGATCTGCTCTCAAGCTTCCCCCAAAATGTCTAAAACAGCCCTCAGTAGAGCCTCGGGTCCCGACAGCAGTTTCCGAATCAAAAATCGGCGATTATAAGACGAGCCGAATATTCGTACAGCGATGTGTCTGGTGTCCAAACGAGAAATGATCATTGTCGGTGTTAAAAACTCACGCGATAACACTCCGAAATAAGACGACCAAATGATGGGTTCATCAGGACGTCGGCTCCGCTCTGATTGGACGTTGAAATCGTACCTAACCAGATCCAAGGGAAATTTGAACAATTATTTCACGCCTGCGATATATTTACCGGCGCAGGTATCTCATAACAAATGATAAATATCGAATACCAAAATTCCACAATCATTTTCATCAACAATTGTCGTTTTTCTGGACGTCTGAAGTCAGCCCAGAATTCTCCAATCCGAAAATGAGATGGTCGTCTGAGTCCCAAATTCTTGAACTCTATGTACTGGAGTCGCCACTTGATCTGCCAAGTGAACCCAGTCGTGTGCGTGGCCATTCAAAAATGTCCTGGTACAATGTCTCTTGCTCCACAGCATCCGAGACCCGAAGACAGGTTACTGGAGTATCCCACGAAGATCCAGGCTCCATCCCATGATGATCCGAAACTCTATTCCATGATGTGATTCGGTGAGCGGTCAGAAAACGATTCGATACAAACACAACTTAATTATAATAAGGTCCAAAAAAATCATAAAATGACTCTCGCCTCGCCAATAAAGTGACTTCTCGTCTGGAAAATCCCGACGATCGCTGAACGGTCAAAATCTCAAAAATGCCACGTTACACTATACAACTTATTATATTGAAATATTTTCGATAGAATTTTCTCGGCTCAAATTTCTCAACTTGTCATCTTCTATTTTTCAAACAATAATTCTTAGAAAATTTGAGCCGAGGAAATTCTATCGAAAATATTTCAGTGGACTAAATTGTATTGAAAAAATGGAATTTTATTGACTTTTTCTATGGAAAATTTTCTATCTAACATTTTGATGGAATCGGCCGAAACCTAATAGAATGTTCAATTGAAATCCAATTCAAATTAAGTTTTATAAACCATTATTAACGCATTCCTCAATTTGAAGATACGTCTTTTCAATTTTCTATATGAACGGCATATAATTAGTTGAATCGATTTCTTTTCACAATAAATTGTCTCGACATATTTTGAAATTAACGGAGGTAGTAAAATTAGTTAGAGATCTTTGTTGTACAGAGAATGATATCTATAAAAAAAAGTTTTTGTAGGAATTTTAGTCTAGTCGGTATTTTGAGAAATAAAATTGGGTGTAAATGAGTCTCCTTTTGCAATGCACGAAATTTAACAAACACCGTGAATATCGTTGGAATATACTCTTCTAATTTTTAATTAATTAATAATTAATTTGAACTCATGAACAACGATTTTTTTTCTTACGGAATACAATTAGTTTGTCTCTCTCATTTTTCGGTGGATTTGAATGTTGATTCAATTACTCATATTTACTTTAATTATACAACAAGATATAAAACTCGCATTTCTGTCACTTTTCTCAAACCTGTTACGGATGTATATAATTACGGATGAGTAGATGTAAAATGCGAACCAAATCATCATAATTTACGGCAATTTTCAGCATAATTTACGCTCAGGATTTTCTGTGTGTAATAACCTCTATTCGTTGACACCAATTAAAAATCCAATTTTTATAGAGATTTGAAAAATTGATATTTTTTCAATAATCGTTTTTTCAACGATCACTCAAAAAATTGTCATCAAAATGGAATTAGTCATGGCTAAAAAAAACAATAACAACCTCTTAATTCTATCAGAATATGATGGGGGTCGCACAATTCGTTGTTGAGTTACAACACATTGTTTGTGCGATCTGAAAGAGAAAATCGGTTTTCTCATGATTACTGAAAGAATCATCAGTAATAGC